AAAAGGGTATGTCTTGTATGATGTGAAAAATAAGTCCTTCTGTGTAAGCAGAGATGTCTCATTTAGAGAAGATATTTTTCCTTTTAAGGAACAGAATAAGGCTGCTAAAGAGCCTCAGTGTGTGTTTCCTGTGAGTGGTCAGTCATATAGGCTAAGTGACACAATTACAAATGATGAGACAGTTCAAGTTGCTCCTGAAATAGGTGATGTGAGTCATGAATCTACAGGTTCACAAGATGTAGTCTTCGACTCTCAGAGTAACCAACTTGAGGTGACACAAGAGGCTACTGATGGAGACATATCTCACAAGGTGCAAGATCAGAGGAAGTCAACTAGAGACAGGAAAACACCATTCTGGATGACTGATTTTGTCTCTTTAAACATTCACAAAGATGTGCCTTATGCTCTATCTAAGTATGTCTCTTATGAGAGGTTATCAAAAGAGTATTTGGCATGTGTAGCAGCCTCTTCATCAGTGTCTGAACCAGTCTCCTACTTAGAGGCAAGTAGAGATTCAAGATGGGTTCAGGCTATGAAAGAGGAAGTAGATGCTTTGAATCACAATCATACTTGGGATGTGGTTGATTTACCGGAAGGCAAGAAACCTATTGGGTGCAGATGGGTGTACAAGGTAAAGTATAAGGCCTCAGGTGAGGTAGAAAGATTTAAAGCTAGGCTTGTTGCAAAAGGGTACAATCAAAGAGAAGGTATAGATTTTACAGAGACCTTCTCTCCTGTAGTAAAAATGAAGACAGTAAGAACTGTGTTGGCAACAGCAGCAAGGAAAAAATGGTTTGTTCATCAGATGGATGTTTATAATGCTTTTTTGAATGGTGACCTAACTGATGAGATATATATGGACTTGCCTCAGGGATTTGCAAGTCAGGGGGAGAACAAGGTGTGTAGACTAGTCAAATCTCTATATGGTTTAAAACAGGCTCCTAGACAATGGAATACAAAGCTGTCAGAGGTTTTGCTGAGGTTCAGGTTTGTTCAAAGCCAATATGATCCCTCTTTGTATATTAAGAGGACGCCTGAAGGAGTCATACTTGTATTAGTATATGTAGATGATATGTTGGTCACTGGTGATAGTCTGAAACTGATAGAGGAAACCAAAAATACTTTGCAAAAAGCTTTCAAGATGAAAGATTTAGGAGAATTAAAATTTTTCCTTGGTATTGAGTTTGCAAGATCTAACAGAGGAATACTGATACATCAGAGAAGATATGTATTAGAGCTATTGGCTGACTTGGGGTTAGGAGCAGCAAAGCCAGCTGGAGCTCCCATGGACTATAACCTGAAACTCACCTCAAGACAGTTTGATGAACATGTCAAGCACATGAAACCAGGTGATGATCCTCTTACTGACCAAAGGGCATACCAAAGGTTAATTGGGAAACTGCTCTATCTAACAATGACCAGACCGGATATAGCATTTAGTGTACAAACTCTAAGTCAGTTTCTACAATGTCCTAAAAAGTCACACATGGAAGCTGCAGTTAGAGTGGTGAGGTATGTCAAAAATCAGCCAGGGTTAGGAGTTCTTTTGTCTGGCAATTCAGAAGGAAAGATCAGTGCTTATTGTGATGCTGATTGGGCATCTTGTCCACAGACTAGAAGGTCTGTAACTGGTTATTTTGTGAAGCTGGGAGATTCAATAGTATCTTGGAAGTCAAAGAAACAGACTACAGTTTCCAGAAGTTCTGCAGAAGCAGAGTTCAGGAGTCTTGCAGCTGTTGTAGCGGAACTAGTATGGATACTAGGCTTGATAAAGGAAATTGGAAGTGAGGTAACGCTCCCTGTGAGTGTCTTCAGTGATAGCAAGTCTGCAATGCAAATAGCAGCAAATCCGGTTTATCATGAGAGGACAAAACATATAGATGTTGATTGCTATTTCATCAGAGAAAAAATACTTCAAGGAATTATTACTACAAGTTACATTTCAACACAAGAACAGCCAGCTGATATGTTGACTAAGGGGCTTACTAGAGTTCAACATAACTATCTTAATTCCAAGCTAGGATTGTGTGATATATTCTCCCCTTCCTAGCTTGAGGGGGGGTGTTGAGAGTAAATAAAAAGAGTGTTAGTATTTCCTAAAAGTAGTTAGTCTATAACTAACTCCAAGATTAGTTAGATAGTAAACGGTCATAAAATACTTTATATAAGAGAGGCTTAGATGTAATTGTAAAAGCTGTTTTTTCCCTTCTCTGATTGAGTTCTTTGGTTAATAAAACAAGTACATAATTTCTCTCTTCTTTTTCTCCTCTCTTCTCCTTTCTCTAGTTCTGGAAAATACTTTCAAGAACAATTTCACTTTGCTGTCCGGGATCCCACACTTGAGTGACGGAGTAAGCATAAACAATGAAGCCAAAAGTACCAATAGAGCCCAACAATAATGGTGGCTTCGTGTTCACTGCACCTATGAGACCCTTAAACTTGAAACTTATACAAAGATATGTTGCAGTTCCACGAATAGCGGCAATATCACCATGATTAAATAAAAATTGACACAAAATATTGCGAGCACTGAATTCATCACTAAACTTTCCATGCTCAACAACAAGCAATCCATCCGAAGGCATGTTACTTCGTGGACTGCTATCCTCGATCTCCAGAAAAAATCATAAAGATATAGCTTCTCAATTGTCTCAGGCTCCACGAAAACTCAGCAAGAGACTTGTCGTCAAAGGTCTCAAATTCAATTTTCTGCTTACTCAAGCCACGATCCAGAGACTTAGCATAACATACCTCTTTGACATATCTTTTGGGGAACCTTCATCGAGCAGTTGGACTTCACTGTGTTTAGGATCTGATGCTTCTTCATCAAGCCTTTTGAATGGAGTATCGGATTGCACCTTTGCGACTACGATGGGGCAGTAACTGTGAAAACATTTGTCGAACTCCTTAGGCGACTGAATATGGTTCAAATCAGCTACAACGATAGAGGCGGGAGAAGTTTCTGCCACTTCTTTGGTGAAAACTCCATTAGACATTTCATCGAACACATAGTCCACATGACCTGAATGGTCATGGATAAACGTATCTAACAGTGCTGGATGACCCTCAATATAATCCACAGGGTTTGAGTTTTCTTCGGTCGAAGGAGACGCCGTCTCTCCGCTAAAGACTGTAGGAGTCAAATCCCAGTATCTTCTACTACAACCTGTTGAGACGTAAATGAATATTTGTCCTCAATTTTCTGAAGCAAAGCGAGAATACTGGTAATTTGAGCATCCACCCCAGAAGACTCTGTATAGGTCCTTTCTGAAAACGCAATGCTAATTTTTCCTTGAAATGATTCCAATCAAAAAACTGTTTGTTGCGAAACAACCAACGGAACCACTCGAGGGCCTCACCTTCGAGATATAAGGAAGGAAGAGGTAGCCAATATTCCTCAGAGAAGCCCAGAAAAGTGAAATATCGTTCTGCCCTATTAATCCAGTCCTCCGGATTACCAGCACCGCTAAATCGATCTAATACCACCACTGTCATTAGAGTCTCTCAATGAAAGCACCAATGTATCAAACTCAATTCCAGCAGAAGCACTCTTATATATATTAATCACTGAATACGAGTTATAATGTAGAATACGCACAACAAAGTAATAATACACTAACTAAGGAGAGATAAATCGAGAAAGACGTAACCAGAAAGGGATGAGATACAAGACCATAGAAAGGAGATGAGAGGATCAGAAAGCCAAAGCTTCACATAATAATTTTTCATCCCCATTCTTCTAACTCCTAGTCCTTTTTAACAAAGTGTAAATGGGCCTGGATCCCAAATAAAACTGGACCTATTGCTTGCTTTCGGCCCAATAGCTCTTGTCAGCTCAATAACTACTTGTGTGACCTTGATATCGATATTGGGTTGGACTTGGTTCGGGACAAGTTGCTTGATTATTGGATTGGATTTGAGTAGCACGGAATAATCTTAGCTATTTTAGGATTAGAGATATGTAATGTTGGAGTCATAACATTACCATTTTTGTCATGTTCGCATACTACACACTTCAATCAGACCGAACCAGAATTCAGTCCTTTGTGAGATTAGAATCAACTAACTTAAATTCTTCTTCCCTCCAGAGAGCTTCAGACGGATTTGCACCAACAATGTCCATTGATGTATTAGATTGAATTACTGGATTAGTTGTTACCTGCTACCTATTTTCAAGACCTAGAGATTTACTTCGACTTGCCAAACAATCAACACGCTTAGAAATTGATTTCTCACTAGATTGCCGAAGCATATATGTACAACATGTATTAGGCTTGGCGTCTGTCTGAAGCAGTCATGGCTGCTATTCATATGATAGAGAGAGAGAGAGGAGAAAGATTTTGGGGTTTAGGGTGAAATGTATTCATATTGCTGGCCTTTAGACACATAAGATTTTACATATTACATTACTTTGTTAAAATTAATTGTTTGGTTCATCTTTTTTCTTCTTCTCTAAATTATGAAATAATGTTGTTTTCATTTCTTTTATGAAAGGTGACGACTCAAGCCATGGAGCTTGCTGAGACTAGTGAAAAAGGAACTCTTTCTTCCGGAGAGCCTTCAAACAAACATACTATTACATCAATTTATGATGATGATGAAGTTGTCGGCTTTGAGAAACATGCAGATAAAATAATGAAGAAATTGACATGAGGAACAAAGGAGCAGGATGTTATCTCCATCTTTGGAATGCCCGGACTAGGTAAAACAACTTTGGCAAGAAAGGTATGCAACAATCCCTATATTTTTAAGCACTTTGAGATGTTAAAGAATGGTGTGCTGTGTCTCAAGCATATAATACGAGAACGTTAATGGTTGAGATTTTCAAACAAGCTACAAATGATAAGATCAATATCAAAGAGGATGATGATGTAGCTGACATGTTGCGCAGGGTTCTAATAGGCAGGAGATAGCTCATTGTGTTAGATGATATTTGGGATGTTGAAGCATGGGAAAATTTAGGAATATGTTTCCCTGAAGGTAAGTATGGAAGCAGAGTAATGGTTACAACACGAATTGAACAAGTGGCTAAGCATCTTCAACACCATAGTGATCCTTATTCTCTTAGCTTTCTAACGTCCAAAAAGAGTTGGAAATTATTGGAGAAGAAGGTATTTCGAGGAGAGAGTTGTCCCCCGGATCTACTGGAAGCAGGGTTACAAGTTGCCCAACATTGCAAGGGATTGCCTATTGTGGTTGTCCTGATTGCGGGAATTATTGCAAAAATGGGAAGGGAGGCGTCCTTGTGGCTTGAGGTTGCAAATGACTTAAGTTCTCCTGCTTTCGAAGAGCAGAGTATTAAGGTAATACAATCAAGTTATGACCAGTTAGAAGACCACTTAAAACCTTGCCTTCTTTACATGGGATTGTTTCCAGAAGACCATAGGATTCCAGTGGACGATCTGCTGAAATTGTGGATGGCTGAAGAGTTTGTATTGAATGCCGGAACAGAGAACATGGAGGAAGCATGTCGAGTTTGCTTGAGTGATTTGCATAACAGAAGCCTAGTAATGGTCTCCCGAATGAGAATTAATCGTGATGTAGAATACTGCTCACCTCATGATGTAGTGCGTGAGTTCTGCTTGAGAAAACTCACAGAAGACAAGTATATGCAGCTCGCAGTGCCATACAATCCATATCAACATTTGCATTCCATGGAATCACGGTTATGCATTTATATTCATGATGATCTTGTTAAACAATTAGATCATTCTGAATACCAGCTGGATAGGATTCCAATGCTCGATTTCAAGGAAACAAATTCTTTGGAGTTCATTGCTCATCCAAAACTCAATATATGGAACAACCTATATTCAAATCCTTTAGATTTAGTTGTTAAATTAAGATATGTTCGGGCATTGCATTTGATGGATGTGGAATTGCCAAATTCATGGCCTACTGCAATGCAATCGCTATCTCAGTTGAGGTACCTTGCACTTTATGTCAAACAATTTGATTTAAAGTGGATATCACACCTACACGATCTCCAAACTCTACGGGTCCGGTCCAATATTTTTGAGGATTTACACCTAAGGGCTGCTACTTTATACGAAATGAGGAAGTTACGGCATGTGAAAATAAGCCATTTTTCCTTGGTATGGGAAGACAATGACGAAGGAAGTTTTGAAGAATGTTCAACAACTATGCTAGAGAACATGAAGACTTTTCACACTTGCCATATATTGTTGGATAATAGGAATCCAAGGTTCTGGTGGAGGTTTCCAAATCTTGAGGAGCTCAGCTTCTGCATTAACGGTTTACCTAGTTGTTCCTTGTTTCCCTTTCTGCAAGTTCATACTCACCTTCGTTCTCTTTTTGTGCAGTTACCTGACTATATTTTCTGGGATACATATGGATGGGAGAGGTATTTTGTGTTCCCTCCAAATCTTAGGCATCTGTGCCTTGCTGGCTGTTTCTTGACAGAAGAAATGATTTTAAACATTGCAAGATTGAAGAAGCTTGAAACTCTCAGATTAGAGATGGGATTTCGTTGGACGAGACGTGGAGGCTATTGCTGGGACATCACAAATGTTGAGTTTCCTGCACTTAAATACTTGACATTATTCAGTATGCAGATAGATGAATGGAAAGCCTCAGATGATTCCTTTCCTGTGCTTGAGGAGCTATCTATAGAATCTGCTCACTACTTCAAGGAGATCCCCCCTAGCTTTGCAACTCTAAGACTTATTCAACTGACTAACTGCATCGACTCTCTAGGGGTTTAAGCTATGAATATCAAAAGAGACGTGGAAGAAATCGCAGGAACTGACTGTCTCCAAGTTGTTATAAAACGTAGTATTTAAAACCTGCTCTATTTCCACTTCTGTACTGTACAAATTATGTCTCCCCGTCGTAACTTGTGATCAACATAATTTTTCCAATAAGGCAGAAGTTTGTGAATCAGCATTATATTATGAACAACACAAGTATTGCCAGTCTGATAATATAGCCGAAAAAAATAGTTTTAAATTCTAATATAGCCACAATTTTTATTTTTTTTTAAATATTTTCTTTACACTAAAGAATGAAAAAAGAAGAAGAATAAGAATAAGAAATTAAAATAATGATAATCAAAGAAATCGAAAAATAATTTATGTATGGAAAAAAATTAAAATATACCGTGAACTTTGCTAGAAGGATCATATATATCCTTACATCATTTAAAAGAAAAATAAAAGTAAAAAATACAACTAATTTTTTCATTTCCGTTAGATAAAGGGTATATGGGAGCTCATTTTGTAACGGTAGGGGTATATGAGAGTCATTTGTATAACGGTAAGGGTATATATGAATCACTTTCATAACGGAATGTATATCAGCTCTTAATGACAAAGCTGAACGGTATATCATGTCCTTTTCCCAAAAATAAAAGATAGAATCCACATACCAAATGCAACAAATACTACCAACCGTACACATGTCTCAATTTATATGCAATTTGAATTTTGAGCGTCAAACAATTTTAGTTTGACTATGAATTTGAATATAGAATTTCATATTTTTTTAAATAAAATTTATATACTTGAAAAATGCGTAGAAAATACTATAGTCAAATTAATTACCAACTTAAAATATTTTATGAAGAAAAAATTACTATTAAAATAGACTCGTTTCTAAGAATTTAAGAGGTACCACATGAATTGAGATGAAAAATAATAAATAATACATAAAGGGTGTGTTTAGTATAAAAGAAAATATTTTCTGAAAAATATTTTTTAATTTTCTCATCAACTTATTCTCCTTCAAAAATTAAGGAAACATTTACGTATTTTATTTCTAATAAATACACAAAGATGATTTTTTAAAAAAAAGAAGTAAATTCTAATAAAAAAATTTAATTGTGAACACTCAAAAAAAAAATAGAAAAAGCTTTATTTATTTACGTGCTGATATTTCCCACAACAATTATTTGTCATTTTTTAAATTTCTGTTACCATCAATTTAGGGCAACCCTTTGGAGCAACTGGTCTCTCTGTAGCCACCCTTAACAACGGAAGGTGAGATTTTATTTTATTGTTTTTTTTTTAAATTTAGGTTTCCATTTCTTCTTTTGCTATTTCCTTGCTGATCATTTGTATAATATTCATATTTTTATAAAATCATCTAACAAAGTTCAAATATTCATACTTTTTTGTCATTTGGTTTCTAGCTTATCCAACAAAGTTTTTTTACAACCAAAATTCAAAACCTTTGAGCTTTTACTAGTGAAGTGATACTATTTCTGATTCATTGAGACAAACAATACCAAACAAAAAACAAGAAATCTTTGTTCTTTTGGAATCCGATCTATTAAATATAAAAAATCAACCAAACAAGAAATTGATGAATTAGGAAAGCTTATACCGGATCCAAAGGTTAATTTACGGGTTCATAGGAACCCAATAGCTTTAGCTCATATCTCGTATGTATATGTATTAGAATTTTGATAAATATTTAGTTGTGAATCAGTTAATATTGTGTATTCATTTGAGATTAATGACAATTATAATCTTCAAATTCTAAATCCGGACTAGTTTTAAGTTTAGAAACAAAAGAAAGCACTAATGAAAAATCACTATTTTCCCATTGAAATTTCCCACTGGAAAATGTTTAGGGGTTATTCCCATAGATATTTTAATTGAAATGGTAAGAAAAGAAAATAATAATAATAGTGTTTTTACATGGAAAAGTTAGGAAGCTTCCCAGTATTTCAGTGATAATCTATTTCCTTCCATGCATTTTTCCGGTGAGCTGGTTCAGTGAGGAATGGATGGGAAAATCATGTTTTGATAACACAAATTTCTTATTGATTCGCAGTGGGAAGAACCTCTGTTTTTAGTAGCAAAGATAGTTGTTTGAAGCTACAAATTTATGCAAAGGAAAGAAAAGGGGTTGATGGATGTAGCATGCTTGTGGAAATCATGAATGCATTCTGAATAATAATGGTGAAGGGAAATAGAGAAATTGTTCATATGTTTCATCTGAAATGAAGGGAACTCTTGTATATCCATGTTGAGCTCATCTCTGGCTTCTCTGGACACTAGGTAATTGCTGAATATATTGTTGAATCAAGTGAGGTTATTACAAATAAGTCTGCAGTGCGATAGGCTATCAATTACACTTGTTTCCTCAAATAAGACTTTTTTTTTCTTTCTGTGTGGCATTACTTCATTTTATATTTTTTGTTTTGATTTTTTCTCTAGAGTATGAATATTGTTAAAAGTTCGTTTTCTTTTATGAAAAGGTGACAGGGCAATAAACTTCAAGGCAGTTGGATTGTGAAAGACACCAAACCAATTGACATGGATGTTGTTGAGACTTGTGGAAAAGGAACTCTATTGATTCCGGGGAGTTCCATCCAACGTAGTTTTCCATCAATTGATGAAGAAATTGTGGGCTTTGAAAAAGATGCAGAAAGTATAATGCAGAAATTGACACGAGGAACAAAGAAGCTGGACGTTATATCAATCTTTGGAATGCCGGGACTCGGCAAAACAACTTTGGCCAGGAAAGTGTACAACATTCCCTCTATTGTTAATCACTTTGATGTTAAAGTATGGTGTTCTGTTTCTCAAGAATATGATAGGAGAACGTTGTTGGGTGAGATCCTTAAACAAACAACACGTAAGAGCGAATTCATTGAGGCTGATGACAGACCTGAAATATTGTGCAGGAGTCTGATAGGCAGGAGATACCTCATTGTATTAGATGATATATGGGATGTCAAGGCATGGGAAGATTTGGATTTATGTTTCCCTAAGGGTGAAAATGGAAGCAGGGTAATGGTAACAACTCGAATTGAACAAGTGGCTAAGCATCTTCAGCACCATAGTAATCCTTATCCTCTTAGATTTCTAACACGGGATGAGAGTTGGGAATTATTGCTGAAAAAAGTATTTCGAGGAGAGACTTGTCCACCGAGTCTGTTGGGAGCAACGCTACAAGTTGCCCAACATTGTAAGGGATTACCTCTTGCCATTGTCCTAGTTGCTGGCCGGATTATTGGGGAAAAGGATAGGGAAGCGTCCAGGTTGTGGCTGGAGGTTGCAAATGATTTAAGTTCTTATGTTTTAGGAGAGCAGAGCATGAAGGTGATACAGTCAAGTTATGACCATTTAGAAGGTCACTTAAAGTCTTGCCTTCTTTACATGGCATTGTTTCCGGAAGACCATGAGATTCTAGTATCTAATTTGTTGAAGTTGTAGATGGCTGAAGAGTTTGTACTGAATGTCGACACAGAGAATATGGAGGAAGCATCTAGAATTTGCTTGAATGATCTGCTTAACAAAAGCTTAGTTATGGTCTCTAAGAGGAGTGCTAATGGTGACACAAAATACTGCATACTTCATGATGTAGTGCGTGAGTTCTGCTTGAGAAAACTCACACAAGACAAGTATATGCAGCTCGCAGTGCCATACAATCCATATCAACATTTGCATTCCATGGAATCACGGTTATGGATTTATATTCATGATGATCTTGTTGAACAATTAGATCATTCTGAATATCAATTGGATATAATTCCAATGCTTGAGTCCACCAACAAAACATACTGTTTTGGTAAATGTCCTATGTCGTCTTTGGAGTTCATTGCTCATCCAAAGTTCAACACATGGAACCTATCAAATCCTTTACCTTTACTTGTAAAACTAAGACTTGTTCGGGTGTTGCATTTTCCGCTTGCAAAGCTTCCAAGTTCTTGGCCTAGTGCAGTACAATCTCTAACTCACTTGAGGTACCTTGAGATTTATGTCCAAGAATTTGATTTCAAGTGGATATCTCACCTGCTCGATCTTCAAACTCTAGTGGTTTGTTCATCTAATTCTCTAAGGACCTCGCTTGCAGCTATCTGGAAAATGACGAAGCTAAGGCACTTAGATATATACAACTTGTCTTTGATATGGGACGACAATGATCGGGCAACTTTTGAAGAATCTTCTACAACTATGCTAGAGAACTTGAAGACATTCCGCGCTCATGTTATACGCGTGGATGATAGGACCCCGAGGTTTTGGAGGAGGTTTCTGAATATTGAAGAACTCAGATGCTTCCACATTATCGATTTACCTAGTTGTTCTTTGTTTCCCGCAGTGGAAGTTCATACTCGGCTTCAATCTCTTTATCTGGTCATAAACCCTCAGGGATTCTGGGATTCAGTTGGTTGGGAGAGCAACTTTGTCTTCCCTTCAAATCTTAAGGAATTGTGCATTGGCGGCTGTTTCATAACAGAAGAAATGGTTTTAAATATTGCACGATTGAAGAAGCTTGAGAGTCTGACATTAGAGGGAGGATTTCATTGGGAGGAAATAGAGTACCATTGTTGGGACGTCACAAATGTGAAGTTCCCTGCACTCAAATACTTGGCATTACACTTTATGAGGATGGAAGAATGGAAAGCTTCAGAGGAATCCTTTCCCGTGCTTGAGAAGTTAGTTATAAGAGAATGTCACTACTTCAAGGAGATCCCTACTAGCTTTGCCGATATTCCAACACTGCGACTTATTGAACTGTTTGAGTGCACTGATTCACTTGTGGTTTCAGCTGTGAACATCAAAAATGAAATAGAAGAAAACACTGGATGTGATAGTCTCCGGGTAAGAAAGTTGTATGGAGACGGATCTCTAAAGAAAAAAGAAAAGGATGCCACGGGGTTTTTAATAAAGAGAAGAGAAAAGGATTTTTCCAATTGAAGTGATGTATTGATAAGGGATTGTTTTATGGAAAAACTATGTAATTACATAAATAT